CCATGCAATTTTACTGTCAAACGAACAATTTCATAATACGAATATTGAGATTGTAAAGAACATTTTAATTTATAATTGCTTTCCGGATCGTATTATTAATAAATATGTAAATAAAAGAATTAATGTACTAAATAACAATAGGAATGTTAACCGTCACAATGCGGATAATAACGACAATTTGAGTAATGATTTGGATAATAACGATAATGTGAATTCGGCTCAAGATAAGAATTATGTAATTCCACTTCCATATGTTAAAGACGTCAGCGACAGTATTAAAAGGTCACTTAAAAATGCTAACTTAAATGTCGTTTATAGTTTGCCAAAAAAGTTGAATAGATTGATAAAACAAGGTAAAAATTGGATAACTAATGATATAAAAACGAATGTAGTATACAAAATCAATTGTGAAAATTGTAATGCCTCATACATTGGACAAACTAAGAGACATTTATGCACTAGAGTGAAGGAACATGCCAGCAATATTAAATTACATGAGTCTAATCATTCGGTTTTGAGTAAACACAGATGTGATTTTGGACATAACTTTGATTGGAAATCACCGACCATTTTACATAATGAGAAACATGTAAGAAAGAGAGAGATTGCTGAAATGTTCTTCATAAAGAAGCATGATAATACGGTTAATCTACAGAAAGACACTGAGAATTTGACAAATGTTTACGACAAAATAATAAAGATTGTTTAGTGTCGCGTTTCAAAGTTAGTCGTTGATGAAACATCATAGCGATGGGACGTGTTCCTCTTTTAACTTTTAACTATTAGTTTTAAATAAGACCGGTGTGATGTTGCGTTAATCTCAGTTTAATTATTGGGTATGTTTATAAAATTTATATTTATATTATTAATAATGCGAATACTTATTTAGTCAGCTCTTTTAATTTTTAAAGCCACAATCTCCACTTGATTCCTCTCGACTCATAGAGCCAAACGCGATGTTATTGCGACAATTATGAAGGAAAGAACATTTTGAAAAGGAATTTGAATTCTATGGTTGGGATCTCAAAAATTCCCCCTGTTCCTTCTCTTAACATCCCCTGTAAAGAAATAGGCGAGAAAAATATTGGTCCGAAAGTCGGACCAATATTTTTCTCGCCTATTTCTTTACAGGGGATGTTAAGAGAAGGAACAGGGGGAATTTTTGAGATCCCAACCATAGAATTCAAATTCCTTTTCAAAATGTTCTTTCCTTCATAATTGTCGCAATAACATCGCGTTTGGCTCTATGAGTCGAGAGGAATCAAGTGGAGATTGTGGCTTTAAAAATTAAAAGAGCTGACTAAATAAGTATTCGCATTATTGTTCGGCGCGTCTGGACCTAATTACGACGCTTTGGGGGGTGGGGGGGTATAAACATTGAGAAAAATATTTATTCGTAAGTGTCTGAATAGCTCAGTTGGAAGAGCAGTCGCCCGGCAAGCGGAAGGTCTCGGGTTCGAGTCCCGATTCAGCCGACTTTCGGACCAATATTTTTCTCGCCTATTTCTTTACAGGGGATGTTAAGAGAAGGAACAGGGGGAATTTTTGAGATCCCAACCATAGGATTCAAATTCCTTTTCAAAATGTTCTTTCCTTCATAATTGTCGCAAAAACATCGCGTTTGGCTCTATAGGTCGAGAGGAATCAAGTGGAGATTGTGGCTTTATATTATTAACTTAACATTTAGATAGTTTCTTGTATGTTTCAACATTGATAAAAACGATTGTGTAATATTATGTTATAGAATTTTCACTTGATAAGGACCACAACCAAATGGTTGAAACGTCGTGAAAGAATTAAATAAAATTGCTAGTTACGTCGAAATCAAGTTTGCCAAGATAATTTAATACAATCGGACTCGGATCCATGCATTTTTACAAGAGATGCTAATACGGATGACTGGATGATTCTATGTTTGTATTGTGGCGATAAATGCCACAAGCATATAAAATATTACGAAATGAAAATATATATAAAGTAAAATTCATACGAAATTAAAATATATTACAAGTGACGAGTGTTAAGGATTTCGCGACCGGTGACACAAAATAATAAATAAACAATAAGCGTATAACATAACGAAAGTAAATGTCGATTTCCGTACATAATAAAAAGCGAAAGTACCTGAGAATAATATAGTTTAATCACCTAAAAATAAAAATAAGGTCGTGGAATGATCGAGAGAAACGAGACAATGCGCGGCCTCGAAGAGGCAGATAGAATTTGACTCGCGTTCGCGATACACGGTTTTCCTCGGTGGAAAGTAAAGAGTTTATATTCTTTGTGTGACTCGAATAAACGCAGTAAAATACAATATACTGTACAACACCAAATTATTATTCCGTCTAAAATATCCTCTCCCGATTCGCGATATTGGCAAAACATTAATTACCGAACAAGCACACGCGCATCATATAATACCCCAAAGTGGTGACCCCGACGTGATTAAAGGTGACGCGAAGTGCTGTGGACATTGCCGCAAATCGTGATATGGATTTTGAGAGAGAAAAGTGACAGTATGGTGTTGACGCGCGACGACGGGGCTGCCCCTCCGCTAATCCAAATCGAGCAGCCGAAACGAGATGCACTGCCTGTGCCGAGGACGTCGCAATAAGCGGTAGAACGACCTTGCCTGTTAATGGCGGGCGCCGAGGTAAATCGCGTAGGCATGAGAATGCCGGAATTTACTTCTGGGGATCGGGAACTATGGTTTAAGATAATAGATCGGAGCTTCCGGGCCGCTGGAATTACGACGGACGCGACCAAATTCGGTTACGTACTTACGGCGATCGGTCCGCGACACGCGATGGAGGTACACGACATAATTATGAATCCGCCAGCGGAACGAGCGTACGAAACTTTAAGATGCGAGCTGATCAAAAGATTAAGCTTGTCGCAGGAGCACAAGACGCGTCGGCTCCTGGAGCACGAGGAAATAGGCGACCGCAAACCGACACAATTTTTGCGGCACCTTCGAGGTCTCGCCGGTAATGTCGTCGGGGACGAGGTCCTGCGAACCATATGGTTGAGCCGACTACCCGTGTACTTGCAGCCGCATCTTGTAACGCGTGTGGGAGATTCGCTGGAGACGCTCGCGGATATGGCGGACGCGATCGTGGAAGCAACGAGAGCACCCGCGGTGCACGTCGCGGAAGCGGCTCGGCCGACGGCATTCGCGGGTGCCGAAGCAAACGGAATAGCTGCATTAGAAGCCAGGATCAACGTGCAGATGACGCAGATGCGGATGGCCATGCAGCAAGAGTTCGCGGAACAAATGACCGGCTTGCGGAAATGCATCGAGGTATTGGGTGAGCGAGAACCTCGCCGGAGCGACGGCGGTGGTCATCGCAGGCGGGAGCGTTCGCGATTGCGCTCTCGCGTCCGGGGTCACGCGTCGAACAATCTCTGTTATTTCCATTGGAGATTCGGACCGGACGCACGAAGATGTGAGCCCCCGTGTGCCGGACAGCCGCAGGGAAACGCGATGGCCCGTCACTGATGACGGCCGGTGATCAAGGCCAGGATTCGCGCCGTCTATTCGTAACTTCGATGCGGAACTAAGAGACAAACGGGTGTTCTCGACGATTGACCTAGTGCGCGCGTACCACCAGATACCGGTGGCGGAGAGTGATATTCCGAAGACCGCGATCACTACGCCGTTCGGCATGTTCGAGTTTCCGTATATGTCGTTCGGATTGAGAAACGCGGCGCAGACTTTCCAACGGTTTATCGACGAGGTCTTGCGCGGACTCGACTTTTGTTACGCGTACATTGACGACATTCTGATCGCGTCAACGACGGCCAAAGAGCATAGTGAACATCTTAAAATATTGTTCGAGCGATTACAAACATATGGCGTTGTGATTAACCCGGGAAAGTGCGTGTTCGGACAAACGGAAGTGAAATTCCTCGGATACAAAGTGAGCGGACACGGCACGCGACCATTGCCGGCGCGCGTACGGGCGATCGAGAAGTTCGAGGAGCCGAAGACAACGAAGGAATTGAGGCGGTATCTTGGCATGATCAATTTCTACAGGAGATGTCTGCCAAGAGCCGCGGAAATTCAGGCGCCATTAAACAAGTTGCTTCATGGCAATATCAGAGGGAAGACGCTCGTTAAGTGGACGCTGGCAGCGAAACAGGCGTTCAAGGACGCAAAAAGTAGTTTGGTGCGAGCTATTCTGATATCGCACCCGAAAGTGAACGCGGAGCTTGCCCTATTCACCGACGCATCAGACAGCAGCGTGGGAGTTGTACTGCAGCAGCGAGCGGAAGAAGAGTGGGAACCACTGAGCTTCTTCTCGAAAAAATTAAGCCCGACGGAAGCTAAATACAGCGCATTTGATCGAGAGCTTTTGGCGATTTATTTAGCAATCAAATACTTTCGCCACATGGTCAAGGCACGGACCTTCGCAATTTATACGGACCACAAACCTCTCACGTATGCATTTCAAAGAAAGCCTAAAAAATGCACGCCGCGACAATTTCGGCATCTGGATTTTGTCGGGCAATTCACGACGGACGTACGACACATGAGAGGAGAAGAGAACGTAGTGGCGGACACGCTATTGCGCATCGAGGAAGTAAAAACACCGCTCGATTACGAGGCACTCGCGAGATCGCAGGAGGACGATGCAAAGTGCAACGAATACATCGAGGGCACGAGCAAACTCAAATTAGAAAAAATAAAAATTCCAGGCGCAGGCACTACGATATGGTGCGATACGACGACAAAGATTCCGAGACCATTTTTGACAAGGCCTTTTCGAAGGGCCGCATTCAACATACTACACGGACTGGCACACCCGGGGATACGAGCGACGGTGAAGATAGTGACACAGCGTTACGTCTGGCCGTCAATAAAAAAGGATTGCAGTACATGGGCACGCGCATGCATCGAGTGCCAGCGAGCAAAGATTACACGCCACGTAAAATCACTGAGAGGCATTTTTGAGTAACCGAGTCAAAGGTTTGAGCATGTGCACGTGGATATTATTAATATGCCGATATCGGACGGAAACAAATATTGTTTGACCTGCATCGACCGATTCACGCGCTGGCCGGAGGCGTTTTCCATGGAGAACCAGGAGGCAGAAACAGTTGCGAGGACGTTCTACCACGGCTGGATAAGCAGATTCGGCGTGCCGTTGAGGATAACAACCAACCAGGGACGGCAATTCGAGGCGCACCTCTTCAAGGAGTTGAGCGGATTGCTAGGATCTAACCACCTGAGGACGACTGCCTATCACCCCCAGGCCAACGGCATGGTAGAACGATGGCACCGCCAATTAAAAGCATCGATCAAGTGCCATCAGAAGGACCGGTGGACGGATGTGCTGCCGACAGTTCTGATGGGCATAAGAGCGGCGTGGAAGGACGATCTGCAGGCAACGACGGCCGAGCTGGTGTATGGAGAGGCGCTCAGACTGCCAGGACAATTCTTAAATAAGCAGTCCGGCGAGGAGAGAGACGCCAGCAATTTCGTCAAGGAGTTGCGACGTCATTTCGAGGAGGTCCGGCCGGTCGAAATCACGCAGCACGGAGAACGACGCCCGTTTGTATTTAAGCAGCTGGGAACCACGGAGAGTGTGTTTGTTCGGCACGACGGGCCGAAAACACAATTGCAAATGCCGTACGATGGGCCCTACACGGTGGTTCGACGAGGAGAGAAAACCTTTGTCGTGCGTATGCACGGGAAAGAGCAAACGATATCCATCGATCGTTTAAAACCAGCATATTTGATTACAGAGAAACAGAATGACGAAGCGTCGCCGACGGCAAGGACTCCTGGAGACAGAGAGACGAGACTGGACCCGGAGCAGCCAAATGAGGCGCAACCAGCGAGTGAAGGACGAGACACACGAACAAGAAGCGGTCGAAGGGTCCAATTCCCGGATCGATATACAATGTAACGCGGCGTGTCGGACAAAATTTTTTAATTTATATTATTATTAATTTTTATTTTTTTTTTATCTCTCCACGCGAGATTATACATTGACGCGGTGACTAATGACGACTCGAATCGACGAATAGGCGGTAATAAAATAATTGTGCAATAACACGAGGTCGAAAATTAGAAAACCACTAGAAGGGGGGTACTGTGGCGATAAATGCCACAAGCATATAAAATATTACGAAATGAAAATATATATAAAGTAAAATTCATACAAAATTAAAATATATTACAAGCGACGAGTGTTAAGGATATCGCGACCGGTGACACAAAATAATAAATAAACAATAAGCGTCTAATATAACGAAAATAAATGTCAATTTTTGTACATAATAAAAAGCGAAAGTACCTGAGAATAATATAGTCTAATCACCTAAAAATAAAAATAAGGTCGTGGAATGATCGAGAGAAACGAGACAATGCGCGGCCTCAAAGAGGCAGATAGAATTTGACTCGCGTTCGCGATACACGGTTTTCCTCGGTGGAGAGTAAAGAGTTTATATTCTTTGTGTGACTCGAATAAACGCAGTAAAATACAATATACTGTACAACATCAAATTATTATTCCGTCTAAAATATCCTCTTCCGATTCGCGATATTGGCAAAACATTAATTACCGAACAAGCACACGCGCATCATATAATACCGCAAAGTATGTTGATGATGGACTCATAGCATGCAAAAATAAAAAATTATTAAAGGATTTTATTTCCTCATTAAAAAGAAAATTTAAAATTACATTTCATGAACCATCATGTTATGTCGGCATAGAAATAAAACGTGATCGAAAAATGAAGACACTCTACATTGATCAACAAGGATATATTTCTCGGATGCTGTGTCGTTTTGGAATGGAAAACAGTAAAACGACAACTTCACCAATGAATTGTTCTGTTAAATTATCGGAGCTGAAGAATAAAGAAGAATTCAGTGAGAAGAGATTTCCTTATCGAGAAGCTGTGAGCTGTCTGATATAGCATTAATATCAAAGCCAGACATTTCATATGCTGTGAATACACTTGCTCGATTTTCGAATAATCCATCTAAACTGCATTCATTCGATCGGAAAACAGTTAAACATGTTATGAAATATCTCAAGAACACGATTAATTTTTTTTGTGCTACAATAAAAAAATAGAAGATGGAATAATTGAATATTGCGATTCTAATTATGCTGGAGATTTGATAAAGAAAAAATCAACATCTGAATATATATTTGTTTTACATGGAGGACCAATAGCCTGGTCATCAAGTCTACAACGAATTACAGCTCTCTCATCGTCAGAAGCAGAATATATCAATTTCGGAAGCATTGAAGGAACTTTTGTGGTTACGACCATTACTGAAATCTCGGTTTAAAACAAGCAAAAGAGACTGAACTGAAAGTAGATAATCAAGCAGCGATAGCGAGGTCAAAGAATCCGGAGTTCCACAAGAAAACTAAGCATATTGGAGTACGTTTTCATCATATTAGACAAGAGCAAGAAGCAGGAGATGTAACTGTTAGCTACATCTCAACAAATGAACAAGTAGCTGACTTGCTTACAAAGAGTATATTATGGATAAAAATTTCAACATATCTCGAGATCCTGAAGATGACGTCATGAACAAGAGGAGGTGTTAGAAGAATGTGTTCTAGACGTTATATCGAAGATAGCAATATTTCAGAACATTCAATAAAACATTTATGCTACTAACAATAATATGGCTAGAACGCTCTTATCGTTAATAACAAGGATAGAGAATGTATCGCTGTGAAGAGCCAAATATAATACTTAGCAATTTGCTAAGACGAGGAACAATCTCAAATCAAGATTTAAATTCCTTTTCCCGTTACCCCTCTAAAATTAATGTAGACGAGAAAAATATACCGAAAAAGCCGGCTAAATCGGGAATCGAACCCGAGCTTCCGCTAACCGGGCGACTGCTTTTACCAACTGACTCTTACCAATTTATGCTACTGTTTTATCTAGTTGTCTTTTTTTGTTCCTTTCTTGCCGTGTCTTTTGTGTCTCTTCTGTAAATCGTTGTTCTAAATACATTAATATAGTTCTTCAATTTACATTTAAATATTCTCACTATATTGAACGTATATAGTATTTTACTATTTGTGTGGTCATATTAAAACTGCTTCTTCAGATGTCAAGAAACAATAATTATTAAAATTATCATAAATTTAAATCATAAATTATTAAAATTTTCTGCGTGAAATAGCGTGCGCGCCCTTAAAGTGTCCTCGTTTGTTGTCGCGCATACCGCACGGATCACGTGCGCGCGGCATGAAACATGATACCTGGTGGCCCGCACTGCCGATTTTGCGCGCGAAGATTATTGTAAATTACGAAATAAGGAAATTGTTGGCGTTCACGATCCTGCGGAATTACTTGCGCGTATTATCGTCGAATTATTAAGAAAACGAACCGACGACGTCGAGAAGGCGTTTCTCGCCATTATACGGCTGCTTTTAAATGCCTAAATCGCGCGTACATTGTTCGGAATCGCGGGTGAGAGCAAGGGGATTGTCAGCGTATGTTTAGAAATTCATTGTCGAGGTGTGATCAAACCTCCGGTAATAATTTCTATCGCCGGGACATCGTCTAAGAAATTCTTTCTTTGCGCTCGCCCCCGACCTCCGAAAACACGCAAAATTGTTGAGTCGCAGGGGTTCTCCGCCCCAAGTACAGCTCGCGGAATACGACAAGTAACTTCTTGTTGTAGAGAGTAATTATATTATACCGATCAATTACGATATACTTTATGTACTGCCATCAACGATTATATCTTTCTGTCTTTTTATTTAAAATGTCAAACATACTTTTTTTCCTTATCTCTCTTAATTATATATGTCCATCTCTTATTAGAAACTTTATATTTTCTAGACAACTATTATAATTATTTTTCTTTTCAAAAGTTATCCTAAATATACTTTAATGAAAAATTAAGAATTTAACAAGGCTCCGTAATATAAATATAAATATAAATTGAGAGTGTTAAACAGGCAATAAGAGCCACAGCGCGGATGACAGTGCGTTATTCCAACGAAACTAAATTTTTTTGTTAGGATTAAAATCTGTGCACAAGGCACTAAATTTTTACTTGGACACGGCCAAGATTTAAAATTTTTCTCTCGCATTTATTTCCTTAAGGGGGGAACAGGGGATGTATGGAATTAAATCTCTTGTAGAGATGATTCCAATTTTAAATCTTGGCCGTGTCCAAGTAAAAATTTAGTACCTTGTGCACAGGTTTTAATCCTAACGAAAAAATTTAGTTTCGTTGGGATAACGCACTGTCATCCGCGATGTGGCTCTTATTGCCTGTTTAACACTCTCAATTTATATTTATATTTAATGAAAAGGCTATAGCCGGATAAGGAAATGAAAAATTTTCGATGCCCTGTCAGCATGATTAATACGACTGACACTACCGTAGAGATTGATACGCCACTCGTAAACGTAGAAAACACATGTGAAGATAACACACACAAGATATATACTGTACGAGTAGGTGACGCGTATAACTCGACATCACAAAGCGAGAGAATCTGACAATTATTACGGATAGATCACTTAAATTCAGAGGAAAAGCAAACTATAATAAAAATATGCAAGAAGTACAGCGATACATTTTATCTAAATGAAGATCCATTAACCTGCACCGCAACCGTAGAACACGAGATACATACACAGGCCGACAGCCTCCCCGTGAACGTGAGACCCTATCGCCTTCCAGAGAAACACAAGGCGGAGATTAATAAACAGGTACAGGAGATGTTGAAGGACGGAATAATTCAAATGAGTACTAGCCAATGGAACGCGCCATTATTGGTAGTACCGAAGAAGGCAGATGCTTCTGGACAACCCAGATTAAGAATAGTCGTAGATTTTCGACGATTAAATAATCTAACGATAGGCGACTCGTTTCCACTGCCAAATATCACCGACATATTGGACCAGCTAGGGAACGCAAAGTATTTCACTACGTTAGATCTGGCCTTAGGATACCATCAGATACCTATGGCCGAGAACGATAAAAGTAAAACCGCATTTTCTACTCCCTATGGACACTATGAGTTCAACCGAATGCCGTTTGGATTGAAAAACGCGCCAGCCACTTTCCAACGATTAATGAATTCTGTCTTAACAGGGATACAAGGGCTAAAATGTTTAGTTTACCTAGACGACATTGTCATCTATGGATCCAGCTTGGAAGATCACAATAGAAGACTCGTCAAAGTACTACAAAGACTACGAAAACATAATCTCAAGTTACAACCGGACAAATGCGAATTTCTGCGGAAGGAAATAACTTATCTAGACCACATCATATCGGAAAGCGGAATAATGCCAGATCCTTCGAAAATAGAAGCAGTAAGAAATTTTCCGACGCCAACAAAAATCAAGGATATATAATCCTTCATAGGGCTAGCGGGCTATTACTGAAAATTTATCGAAAACTTCTCGCGAATCGCAAAACCTCTAACTAAACTAACAAAGAAGAATGAAAAATTTGAATGGACCAATGAACAAAAAATGCGTTCAATACATTAAAAGAAAAATTAACAACAGCTCCCGTATTAAGATATCCCGATTTTACAGAAGGATTCAATATAACAACAGACGCATCCGATTATGCTATCGGAGCCGTGCTCTCGCAAGGGCCGATAGGCAACGACGGGCCCATTGCTTACGCCAGCAGAGTGTTATCTCGGGCAGAGCAAAATTACAACACGACAGAGAAAGAATTACTAGCCATCGTATGGATTGTCAAACATTTTCGACCGTACATATACGGGACAAAATTTAAAATAGTCACAGACCATAAACCACTAATATAATTATTTAACGTGACAGATCCCGGATCCCGATTAACACGTTGGAGACTAAAATTAGAAGAATATGACTACGAGATTATCCACAAGGCCGGACGAGCAAACACAAATGCCGACGCCCTGAGTCG